ATGTGAAAACAAACTGAACGTAAGTTCTGTTTTAAATTCCCAATTGGTTTTTCAACCTTGAATTAACTAATGACTCACTTAAATGAACATGCACTGAAAGAAAACACTTTTATACTGAAGCAGTTTTCAGAAATTCCCTGAAAGTTTAATATTCACATATCAATGGATTTAGAGTGGTGTGGGTTCATTGCAGTTTATTAAAATAGGTAAGTTAAATTTTACATAAAACAGACTTCTCAAGACTTTTATTTTACACGACCATGTCAGTGATGGCAAAGAAAGCCAAAAGCGTCCAGTAGAATTCTGGGTATTTGTCTAACTACTCAGAATTGTGGAGTTTGAACAAAATCTCACAAAGAATAAATCCCGATTTTTACATAGAGTAAAATCAGTTCTCTCTGTGTACTTTTCTATTCATACCATGAAGTTATTTTCCTGGTATATCTGATGTTTAGTGCACCTTGGTTGGTTCATGGGCAGTTATTTCTCACTTCCATGAGGGTGCCTATTTGGTGTTTATTTCCCTCTTGCGCTACTCTCACACAGGTACAGAAATGATGATGATTCTCCTGCACTATTTTAGCAGTCTTGGGTTGGGAATAAATCTGCCCATTCATGCCCACTGTGAAGATTTGATTTCTGCAGAGACTGGTGTCCTTCTGCCCCCACGGATATTATTTTCTGCCTCTGTTAAGTAGGAGAATTGTCTTGCCCAAGAGTGCTCTTTCCCGTGCTCCTAAGACAATTGCCTCAGTTAACTGTTGGATAATGTGAGGAAGAACTGGAGAAAGGGGAAGGGAAGCCTTTTCCCTTCTCTGTGTATCAGGTAGAAGTTGGCAGCAGATGAACTTTTTAAGCTGTGTTACAGAAAATGTGCTTTGTCTTTTGTAGGACAGGGAAGCAGAGGTGAGGTTGCATTGGCAATACCCTTTCTTTGCTTCTCATCATATAATAGCTGACCTTCATTCTTGTCCCTCTGCATGCTCTGGACAGTAGCTGTAGTACTATGACAGTGTTTTGTGTGAAGCTGCTGATTTTTACTATTGTATCTATTTGAAATACCGACCAGCTAAATGTGTTGATGTGACAGAAAATAACTGGAAACAAGTTCCTGTTGTTCAGGCTGTAAGTGTGTGTGTTGTCTATTTTTGCCTTTATACCAGGAGTTCTTTCTTAACTGAACTAGGAATTATTCTATTTTCAGACTTTAAAAAAATAGCAAAGTGACTTCATAAAGTGATGACTTTGGGTCTGTTCCAGTTATGTCAATCAGTTAAACTGAGCATGCAGAGGGGGAGAAAAGGGGAGATGGCTCATGGCTCGCTCTTTCAACTGCTGCACTCAAACTGCTGGGACCCTCTGCTTGGGCTTACAGTGATCTAGGATGAAGGATATGATCAATGCCTCAAATACTGGATTTCAGGATGTCTGAGTTACTGTATTTCAGTGATAAGTGACAACTTGGAGAAATGAAGGAATTGCCTATCGAGAATCAACTTTGGGAGGGAGAATAATAAAGTGAACATAAGTAGTGATTGTACATTTCACAATTAAGCACTTTTAATGTGTACTTCTAGGGAAGGGAAGAAGAGAAAGATGATAAAAAATTTAAAGAAGGAACAACTGAAAAACTTCTGAGGGAACATGGCAATGCATTCCTTAGGTTGTGTCAGACGTTACTTGCTCAGTTTCATCCCAGAAGGCTGCTGCTTTTCCCATCCTACTACAGGTGATAGATGGAAGTGAAGTAACAATAGAGACATCCCACCACCCCCACTGCAAAGCAGCACTTTTTTTTTTGTTTTGGATGAGAATATTTGTATACGGTTCAATACCATTATTTTTGGAAGGGCTTTAAAAACAGGATGAGCTTGGACCAAAAACATAGAAGTTACGTCTGAAGTGGAAGAGGTAAAAGCTGCTTTCACGTTTACGTAACTATTCTGCAGATTTAGATGTCCCTGAGCTGACAGTCTCACTCCTCTCTGCACAGGAGGTGGATCTAGCACTTTACTAAGGAAGACTTTCAGGAAAGAGGGGAAAGTCAGGCAGCTCTGAAGAATCTGGCCTGGCAGAGAATGGAGAACCCTTATGAAGCAAAGCTGCTGTGGGTGACAGTCATGGTTAGGAGCTATCTTTCTTGTACTTTCTTGTACCTTCTCACTTCTATAAAGTATAGGGGGTTTAAGACACCCCCTCCCTCCTTCCCTGCCCTTTTTGCAGGGACAAAATTCCACCTTTTTGACCATCAGAAGTACTCAAAGGAGTGCAGCTTTGCTCTGAGAGCATGAAGGCATGGAGTGTTTCACTCATGAATGATCATAGAAGAACTTGTTCCTTCTCAACTTCTTTCAGTGTCAGTGTGTTGTGAGGTAGACCTTGGAGAAGGGAAATGCACCTATAGAAGTCCAAGACTCCTGCTGAAGAGGTGAGGGGGACATTTACAGCAACTATGTTGGTAGTGAAGCCCAGTAGAGATGATGTTCTGCTGTTCAGGTACACGATCAGTGAAACTGATGGTAGTGGGTCAATGACTACTACATACATGGCATGCTGAACATGAAGCATTTATTTATGTGAGCAATACATTAACAAGTGGCAAAGTTATACACTAAATTTATGTAGAAATATATTTCCTCCCACTCCTCCACACACTAGTCAACCAAACCAGCGAAAGAATTCTCAGTCCAAATAATGATGAAAAACAGCTGCAGCATTCCACACACTGAAACAAACTTGTTTCCTTTCTGGAGTGTCCCTCACAAGAGATACTCAAGAACACCTGTATTTCATACTGTGCAATGTGCTCTAGGATGATCCTGCTTGAGCAGGGAGCAGATAACCCCAGTGGTGGTCCCTTCCAACCTTTGCCACTCTGTGATTTTTGTTTTGTTCATTACCTGCCCAGCCACAGTCTACTAAAGAACTTTCAGTCTGTAACCTAAACTGGACAGTGTTTTTTCTCTCCAGTTAAAGAATTAAAGTGCATAACAACAGCTGTATCTTAACTGCTCACAAAGATTGTGTTCCATTTTCTTAACAAAAATAGTTCTCTGTGAAGACTTTGAGTACTCTATCACCAGTACATCTACTGATATAGAGTATGTGTGGACTACTTCTGGATTCTGAGATGTTTTTTATTTGTTCTAACCTACAAATAAAATAAATGTTTTACACATATAGGGAGCTATGGTTCATATGACTGTTTACATATATACAAAATAAATTTAACTCTGTTGTCATTTGGGACTCAGGCCCATCTGAGAAGTCTGCAGAACTCATCCAGCTTCCACTAAAGCTTGAAATGCAGTCATACCTCTAGACAAATATCAGGGATATTATTTTCTTTTTAGCAAAAAAGTAGATTAGTAACTGTACAGTAGGTAAAAAGCACTCCTTAAAAAAAATACAGAAATTACATAAAAGGCTGTAGTAAAGTGCCTAGCAAGAATATAAAGGGCAGGAGAATCAGTGTAAGCAGACAAACAACATTGCATCCTTGCTACCCTGACTTCTTCACAAATTCTCCTGTGTGCATTGTAACACTGACATGGGTCAGTATGTCAAAAAGAGAATTTTCACTTTGTTATAGAAAGTATTAGAGAGTTTAAAGCCAAGACTACAGTCATATCACCAGAAATTAATACTTTGGAGCATGATTAGCTCGATTTTGTCCATACTCTACACAGTGAGAACTGCCAGGAACCCTCAAAGCCTGCTGACAGTGCTCTTCATGGAGACACAGCTCATGCCCATCCAAATGTAGCTACAGCCCTCACAGCCAGATCTGCTCAATCTTTACCTCTGAGCTACCATCCTTTCTTTCCTTTTCTCCTCCATCAGTGTCTGTTTCCCATGCCTCCATCAGTTTTCTGTGAGGGGGACAGCCTCTGGCTGCAACAAAACTGCAGATTATTTTAGGGCTATTGTGCTTTCCAAGTGTGACTTCTGAGGCATGGAGAAGCCAGGTTTTCCTGATTCCTTATCCCTGTCCTTTCTCTACTTTGATCCCCAGCCTTACTGAGAGATCTCAGGGCCCTGGACACAGAGAGACTGACATCTGTATTAGAGAGTTTCATTTCCATGATGTGTTTTGCTGGGGAAGAAATTTTTTGTCTTTACATAAAAATATGGCGCAAGATACACTGAAGCTGAATTTCAACTTTCTACTCAATATTTTTAAATGCATGCTCCATGACAAACCACCCTGTGACTAACTGCATAAAAAACAAGACTCTACAGATAGAGAACCTGAAGTGTTAAAAAATATATTTTCCCTCTCCCCCTTATCCCTTGACAAGTTCGCCTTTAAACAAACACGAATATGAGGTAAGCTGACAGAACAACACTGAATAAAGAACTGCAAAAAATCTTTTGGTAACTAGATCTCTGCAGGCATCATGTAAACTGTATGCTACCTTCATGCTAGTTTAAAAAAGGTGTTCTATATCAAGGGATCCACACTCTGGCACTTCTGGCAATAAACAGATGTTTTCAGGCTGGTAAAATTTTTAGATTAAAAAAAAAGTAAAATAAATACATTTTCCCTCACTAGAGGGAAAAAAAAGCGCCACATTTTGCTACACCAGCTATCACTTAAAACCCAAGAAAGACAAATTTTGAAGTTACCTGCTGGTAGAAGAGTTAATGATAGTATACTTTGCTTTCAGTATTATATCATGTAGTCCTGCTGCCAGTTTCCTAAGCAAACGACTGGCCTCTGTACACTGTGAACCAACCTACTAAGTAACTCAGGTTTGATAATAGAAGCACTTTCCTTTTTCACCCGAACTCAGCATAGTCTGAGAGGTTTTCACCTTTCTTTTTTGACTTTTTATCTAGCCTCCTAAAAAGCATAACTAAGTTCCTCCTAAAGTTGTTTTCAGAATAGAAATTTGCATTTAAATGTAAACACTGATACCATAAATGTAGTGTATACAAAAGGCACAAGACAATTAGATTTGTGTTGCTGAAACTTCCTTGACTTTGAAAGCCAAAAATGCCTCTTTTATTCTGGTCAGTAAGCTCTGATCTGAAGAAAGCTGCTAGCTCCTAACTTAATTGAATGGAATTTCCTATGTGCAGCAGCTTGGCTTTTTGGTATTGCAATCAAAAGTCCATTGTCCTGTAAATGCAAATATCACAAGTTATAACAGTACTGCAGTTATGCAGTAAGAAAGGCAGTGTCTTGGAGAAAAAGTGAAAAAATAAATGTGAGACGAATATTGATTAATCAGAAATTAGGAGTTTGAAAGACAGTGGCCCTCAGTAATTAACACAGATTGGTAAAAAGCCTTTTGGATCACAGTTCAGGGCCAACATATGATTCCCAAAGGGGTAAGAGCTCCAAATGGGACAATAAAATCCCATTTCATAGGACTATTCTGTGAAGCTTCCACCAAAATCCCTAGCTGGCTGGTTTCATTTTTGTATTACCCCTCTGAACACAGGCTTTCTATCACATCACTGAGCAGTGGCCCACTGTAGCATTCAATTAAACAAAGATTTTTTTCCCTCTCAACAACTTTTCAAACTATTGGTAGGGCAGATCTGAGGGAAAACAGAGCTTTTACAACGTTTTCCAAAAAATGTTCAAAAAATAGTCAGACACTTCACTTAGGTCTTCTTATCTTCAAAAATTTCTCATCAAGGGGTCAAAAGAAAATACAGTCCACCAAGCCACTAAACTATTCCTCATCAACACCTGCTGTTCTCCCTATTCATAAAGCCAGTAGTGCAAAATATTTGATTTTAAAGTCAACTACTTACAACAATTTGAATTAAAAGATGAATTTTCAAAACTAAGCCAAGAACACGAACTGATAGGAAAGAGGTCACATTTTTCTTGTGCTGAATATCAAAATAAAACCAGCCATTGAATTTTTACAATTGTAAACACAGATTCTTCTTTTTTTCCACTTTCTAATACTCAATCATCCTTCACCATTCAAACCCAGTAATTTTAAATTGAAACATCCTTTATATGGTTCAGAAGTACTATGTTTAGTTTTGTGTTTCAAGCAGTGACATGGAGACATCTAATCATCTGTCAGTTTGTTTTCTGAGCACATCCATAGAGGAGCAGACAGGAGCAGCTGGCCAATAGGGAAGAATGCATCTTCCTTCCAACAATAGCTTGTTCTTACACTGGAACAGAATATTAATCACAAAACACATTATTAGAATCAAGTAATACTTCACGTTATTGTAACAAGTCTCATCAACTTGAAAGGGAAAGTGACTAACAGTAGAATAAAAATCCCACCCTGAAGAGGAACCCAATAAGACTGTTCCCTTGTTATATGATATGTAGATATGTTATTAATCTACTTCACGATGACAGTGATAAGTACTGACTACACAGCAAGCAGGCCATCAGTTTATAAAATGACATGAGCTATTTTTACAGTACTTGCAGATACCAACATAATTAAAAAACAATTCTCTCTTACATTAGTTTAAACTACATCTGGCACTTTCGGTAGTTAGTCCTCTACTGAAATATGAAGGATTATAGAATACAGGATATTGAACAGATCCTTCAGTGGGACAGAAATTCTAATTCTGACACATTGGCAGTGGCTGCGGGCTGTATTTTTCATATCTAAGATGAAATTACTTGGTTTTGTTGTGGTGACTTCAGCAGCTCTATTAAAAGTATTCTATTCAATCCCTACGAACAAATACCACTCATATATTGATAAGAATATAATGAAGTTAAATGCAAAGTAGCTAAAAGAAGTTTTTATATAAGGGCTCTTATTCCAGCAACTGTATGTCACATATATGTAAACAGCAACCTATCTTTGTTACTTCTCCAGAAAGTTTTAACTGCCACACAGAAGAAAAAAACAACCAATCTGGTGCTTATGCCCATGTCAGAGAATTACCACTCCTTACTACCTTTCTGAAAGTGCATGAATCTAAGTGAGGCAAAACCAGCTTCCAGGAGCCCCTCTATGTGAATTTAGACTGACTCTAGATATAACCTTTTCTGAAAGTAGTCTCTCTCTAAAAAGCCACGTTTCAAAATGGATGCTTCCCAAAAGAAAAAACACCATCAAACAAAGCCCCCAAAGCCCAGAGAGCGAAGTAATCAGTCTGCAAACACAACCCATTCTCAGACTGGACTAGAAGAAGAGAATAATTTTAAAAGAGCACAAGATGTTTATCAAGCTAAACTGATGGGAAAACCCACCCACTTTTAAAATCTTTAGAACAGTCATAGACCATGTTTGATTGTACACACTCTTCAAAGAAAGATTAAAGTTTAAAAGCTATTACTTAAGTAAGTAAAGCATTAGAACTTTAGAAAGTAGAACTCCAGCCTGATAAAACTAGTTGCAATTAATGGTATTTCTGTAACAGTCCAAGAATGTTTCTTTAAATCTGTCTCCAATATTTTACTCTTGATTAGTGCTGACATGTAAGACATTAAACTACCTGAGGTAAGTAATTTAGTCTCTTCCAGAAGCTGTTGTTTTGTTGAAAGAACTGATGGATTAAACAGTACAGAATGCAACGTTTTACACTTTGAACAAAGGGTTAGAATGAGGGGTTTATATTCTATTAAAACATCACACAGAGCAGTGAAAATCGAAGACACTGAGTTTCCTTCACTCATCTCTTTAACTCTGTTCATTTGACACCCACATTTTCAACACCTCTAACACTTCACATCATCATCAACTTTGCAGATGTACCTATATCTGGAACTGTGTCTTCTGTGTCTTCATCACTGAACACAAAACTAGAATGTAAGGGCCAAGAGGTTTTTAAATTTCTCTTCTGAACCAAACTGAGCTTCCGGGAACTTTTTGGTACAAGCTATGGGCCCATCTGTTGGTATCTGCACACCTACCACTTTTATAATCTGCCTTGACAGTGCAATACCATTCCTAACGGCTCTAGTAGCAATCACTGCAGTTCCCTGATGAATTTCCATGCCTTTCATTTATTCCATGAGAGCGTGCCCAAGAGTCACACATATCACACACAAATGAAGGACATTCACTTGAGACACTTTTTTAGGATGGCTGTAAAGGTGCTTCCAACAGCAGACAAGAAATGACCTGGCTGGAACAACTCCTCCATACCAATTATTTGGTATAAAGAAATTCTTAGGGCTGGAGTCAAACTTTTAATACAGTTTTAAATACAAAATAATTTAATTCAGTAATTTTTTTGTGGAGTTAGCTATATTCAAGTACTAGACTGAATGTGATAATTGTGTTCATTCTCCACAACCTAGGGTAAAGGTCAACTCCTGTTATGTACCTGACAGAATTTACTAGCTGCTTCTCAAACCTGCTTTCTGAGAAGTCTGTGTTGCAAGATATTAATGCAAGAAATCAAGAAAATCTCAGCTGTTTTTGACAGCAGGTGATTAAATACTCAAGAAGTCATATGGACACCTTTGGTCTTCAGTTAGCAGCATGTTTTTACTATTAAATAGGACGCAGCTCAGTACCTGACTCAGAGCAAGACACTAATAGCTTATATATTAGACTAAATCCTTTTTGCTTCATCATTTGATGGATTTTTACCTGTTTTAGCAGACAAAGCTATGGTCTTTGCATTCAGTGTCAAGAATAGTCTAATTTTCAAACTTAGTGTTACAAATATTGGCAGAACAGCTTGAATACTCACAATTTAAGTATCTTTCTAAAGAAAGGGAATAATAATATTATTGTATTAGACTATTACCTAAAAACCAGTGAATATAAGGATCAAACTAATTTGCAAACATGACACATCAAAAAGTAGGAGGTTTAGTTTAAAACTATGAATTGATGTGCTATTACATGTGGTAAAAAAATTAACCCAAGAAAAGAAAACCAATAGGAAATGTTTTAGTAATTTTCTTTTGTGCATTCTTCAAATGGTTAGGAATCATAGAATAAAATATCAAATACAGAGGATATTAACATACCTTTCCTTACATATTCAGGTGTTTCTTTTAAGGGAAATTAGGTTTCATTTTCCATGGTTAATGCAGGATTGCTCATACCTTAAAGACAAAAAATAGAAAGGTCTCATGTCTATTTCAGCAAATAATACAAGCTTGAATCAACAATCATTTTAAAGTCATTACTCTATTAACAAGTCTAGTCCTGTCCCATAGCTTTTCACTAGCTGCAAATAGGTGTCACCTCTTTTATAAGCAATTTGTTATCAAAGGTGCTATCAGGCCTAGCTTAAAAAATAATTAGCACCTACTGGTATCAGTGCTCTGATATCCCTTGGTCAGGTTTAACTGGGAAAGGCACAGCAGCTTGACACATGGCACTTCCTACAAGCATGTATTTAAAAAAAAGCTTCCTGAATTTTGGTTCATGAGTACAAACCATGTGACTGTAATCACTGTTACACTATATCCTCCAAAACTAGTTTATACAACACCAATCACTGCAGCATAAGTCAGCTCCTTACCAACTTTGCCCTTTTCAGCCTTGGCAGTAGTTTCTGACCAAGATGGTGTATCTGTAAGTAGGTGGCTCTGGGAATCACGCAACGGCTTTGCAGGAAACAGATGGCTCTCACTGTAGTGCCAATAAAAGGAACATTAGTGAACTGCAGTAATTTTTCATCATCTTACCTACCACACATTACTAACAGTTTGTCATATGCAGTATTTTCCTTACCTCACCTTGCTTCTTGTCTGATAAATCACTGCTTTTTTATCATTACATACATTACACTGTAGTTGTCACAAGTGCAAGCACAATCTAAAAAGCATAGGGATTTTTAATTTGACAGCTACTTTACATTAATACATGCACTTCAGCCCCAAATGCACTCTTACCTATATTCCTCTTCACTACAAGAAACCCCACATGATAAATAGTGGAGAGTACATCTCTAAAATCTCTTTCCTAGAGTAAGCTACAGAATGCTGGGATAAGTTAAAACGTCAGTAGATAGCTAGCTGAAATGTCATATATTTTTTCATGAATAAAAGATTGTCAGTATGATTCCATTATCATTTCTTAGCCACACATTCACTATACTTATCACACTTTACATTACATACATTTTTCCACAAAAATGCAATATAAATTTATTTAAAGGAGAATATGCATACTTTTTACACTTTAGATATGTCATGTCCATTAAGGATAAGAACTAATAAAACATGTTCTATTATCAGCAGAAACACTTAATATTCAGCTTCCTGTGCTTTGGACCAAGTGCCATTAGGGATGATTCCCTTTATATGAAGCAGCTTTCACCAGACAATAAATAGCAGGGGTCCCCCAAAAGCCATGAAGGGCAATGGATCTGTATCACAGGCAGATTGACTAACCATCTCATGTATGCATAAAGAACACTGCTGATACTGACTGTTAGGCAGGTGTGAAAAATTCAGGTCCTGGGATGCCACTGAACCGAGACAAAGCACATCAGGGGAAAGACCCACTCCACCTAATTTCCATAAATTTAAATATAAATCTGAGGATTACCTGATTTACAGCTTAACTGTTAAAATAATAACTTGGATTTATTAAAAGGATACTCTTCATTTGCTTACCGCTTTAAAGTATATTATACATCATTCTGTTTATGCGTGCACAGGAAAAAAAAAATCAACTATTTGAAATGGGTAACAAAAAGCAGATTACTTTTTGGATGTTGAATTAAGTCCACCAGGCGTGGAAGCTTGCTCAGGATCCTGATTAACAAGGCAAGTTGGAAAGGAGCAACCATCCCCTAAACTGAAAAATTCAAAATTAGTGTCATACATATCAAAATCTCTCAAGTTTGAAGAACTTTTTTTATTAAAGTATTACTATATCTTATTTCCAAAAATTAACCATCCCCCAGACTCTCTGGATCCTGCTTATTCAACAGTTTAAACAAATGAAGCATTAGGACCAGCATACCTTGAAAACACAGGCAGCAGCCAGTATTTCTTCTCATCACCAAACACCTGCCTTAGGTTTTTGCTGAAGCCCAGGCTAAAGCCATTCTTATCTGTTCTGTGACGAAATATGGGAGCTCTGAACACCTCTTAAAAGAAAGAGATTAATTAGACCTCTTTGCAGGTTAGCATGTTGCAGTCTCTCATCAGTACTTAGGCACTTTCACTGCAGGTACCATAACCCAAGAGGAAAGGCTGTACTGCCCAAATGGCTGAGAAAGACAGAGAGTGCATTCTTGGAAGCCAAAGTCAGTGCTACACTGGCACTATGCATGTGGAGCAGGTCCAATGGCTCTGGAAGGGTGGAAGTCTCCTTCACCCTCCTTCCTCAGCAAGGCAAGGAAGAGTGAGGAATTCAGTTTTTAAGAAGGCATGATGACATGTTTATATGAAGATTTCAGTATGCGACTATGAACACAGACACAAAGGTAGTCCTCAAAAAAGAAAAACCTAAACAAAGGGTTTATTACAGAAAAAGTAATGGAAAAGAAGAAAGAATTAACCTACTTCAGTAGTAAGACTAGCTTTTCACACACTGGGGCACAAAAATACCATGTGTTTTTACAACTGCATAAATGTCTTTGCTCATAGACCCAGATTATTCCCTCTGGCCATCCAACCTAAATTTCTGGAGAAGAGAGCTAAATATAGCTTCAAGTGTTGCAAAGTGCCTGAAGCAGAAAATTCATTCACTTTTCACCAAGTGACTGAGAGCCATTTAATTCCCTTAATTGGCTATACATAGCAGGCAAACTCTGTCCTGATGTCCTGACAGTACAGCTCCCACAGGCCATGTCAGAACCATGCTCAGACTGCCCTTCTGCAATCAAACCTTAGCTATGACCTGCTGGAAATGACCTTCCACATGCAGTGTGCATTAATTACAATAAAGAAGGGAGAAGGGAAGATAGGGGCACCCTTTTAGATGCCCATATTAGGCTAGGAAAAGAACTCCCCAGATGATTTAAGCACAGTCACACTTAAAGCTATTATGCCTTCATTACTTTAAGGCTTCATTATTTTAAGGCTTTCTTCATTATATTTATACTTACTTCATTATTTTAAGGCTTCACATATTGAGCGATTTCCCAAAGTAAAATGGGAAGAGACACCAGATATTTTTGAGCAACTTCAGTATGCAGGAAACATATTACCAGTAAGAGATTGCATTTGTTTTGAAAATGCAAAAAGTTGTATTAGAAGTGTAATGCATTATGATTATCTCTGAACAAATTTTTTGCACTAAAATTATAAGATCACTTTATAAACAGAGCACAAATTTATTTCCGTTCAAATAAGCATCTTTAATAAAACTTTTCCTTATACCACATAGAAATTAATACCAGTAAAAAATTGTTCCAAGTCAATGATTTCTTAGAATACTGAAGAAACTAAAAAATCCTAGAGGAAATCTTGAAGTAAACAAGCTTTCTTCCATTGATACAGATGGCTATTTTCACAGTTTTCCTTTAATCATCAAAATCATCATTAATCATCATCAACAAATCCAAAGAGAACTGGAAAAAACAGGACAATTCATTGGCCTACTTTAAATCAGCTTACGTCAACAGGAAAGCATTTAGAGATTTAGAAATTTTAATGACTATATTGCAAATTGGCATTATTACAGTCCAGCATGCAGTACAGAAGAGGCACTTAAGTCTTCTGGACTTTATTTATAAAGCTCTGTGATCAGTCACAAATGCATTCAAACATTTTGTGTGTGAGCACGCAGTAGTCCCTCTAACATTTATTAGAAATTTATCTTGATTTTAATTTTTTTAGTTTATGCAGTTTCTGTTAATAAACTGTGGGTAGAAAGCAGTGAGAGGAAGAACATTAAGTTTATTAATAACTTGGCCCTTTGAGGCAGGAGAGAAAGAGTCAAAATTTCCAGGGAGCAGAAGAACTCGGGAGTCTTCTAACCAAGATCCAAGGAACTTGTGTAGAATTGCCCACTTCCTCCATTACCCTCATGCATATAAGATACATTAAATATTTATTTTTTGCTGCCAAACACAGAAGCATTAAATCTACTTACCTAATGTAGATTTATTCTTGCTGACAAGCCAACAGTGATACCCAAAGAGAGAAGACAAACTGACAGAAAACATAGCTGCAGCAAAGAATAAAAACATGATGTGGAACTTGGCTTGAGTATCAGGAAGGCCATTCTAAAAATAAAAAAAAATAGCTATTAGAATTGGGGAAATAGCTGTTTCATTTGATTATTAATAATCCTCTATTCAGCCAAATCAAAGTCATCACACAGACAAATACACCACACAACAAGAATACCAATAAATGGATTATACAGCTACTATGTACAGACAGCCAGGCAATTAGGTTGGTGACAGCATTTAAGTTAAAGAAACGGGCCCTTTCTTGGGAAACTATAAATACTGAGAGCAAGAATCTGAAATTTAAATTGAACTTTGAAGTGGCTTTTAGAGAAGAATAATTTGAAAAAAATGAAGGCTATGACTGTATATATAGGTTATACCTTTGCACATGACATGAGGAGATACTAGTTTACAATGGAATGCCTTGGCTTGGAAGGGATCTTCACAATCACTAAGATCCCAATGCCCTGCCATGCACAGGGCACCTTCAACTAGACCAGGTTGTTCAAAAGCCCATCCAACCTGGCCTGGAATACTTCCAGCAATGGGGAATTGGTAACTTCTCTAGGCAACCTGTTCCAGTGCCTCACTACCATCACAATAAAGAACTTCTTCCTAATACCTAATCAATATCTGCCCTCTTTCAGTTTAAAGCCATTTCTCCTTGTCCTATCACTGCATGTCCTTGTAAAAATGTCTGTCCTTAGCTTTTTTGTAGGTCTCCTTAGAATCTTAGATTTTTTGCACAGCAGTAACTTCACACACTTGAAGACAGTATGTAGATCAGAGCACTTACTGTCCAAAACTTTATAAAGTACTGCAAATCTGTTGCAGCAATGAAAAGGCAATACAGTAGCGAGTAAGCCAAGAAGAGAAGAAAAAATTTGTAATTGGAGAATCCTACACAGTTGTTCACCCTGATAAAAACAAACAAAAAAACATGTAAAAATGAAATGTCATGAAAGTTTTCTTTGCTTTCATCCAATTTAAATTAAACTTATTTACTCTAAAAACATTTATACCAGCATGTAAACCAAGTTTTATTTCCTGTCTCTGCTGCCTCAAGCTACTGGAATGGATTTAGATTCAATTCTCAAATTAGTGTAGTAACCCAAATCAAACCACCACCATCACCACCACAAAAAAGCCCAAAGAACTTTACCAGGTTAACACTGCTTTCAACAACTTACTGAAGTTATATTTTCACTTATGGTAAGAAATTTGTTCTCAGCACATCTGATGTAAATGTGATTGCAGTTAGCCATTTTTTTTTTCAGTTTGCAGGTAAGTATGCATGTTATACCATTAGGCATACTGCATGTCAACTGGGACAGTAACAATCCAGGAACTGAAATTTGACTGATTTTTTTGAGAATAAAAGCAGTCTCATTTAATGCAGACCCTCCTTCATTAATTGTACTATATACTTAAAACTTCTCATACCATAAAACTTCTAAGTAAGTTTCTCAAATGTAAGAACATTAATAGGAGAGTCTTATTATTCTATGCAAATATAAATATTTTTGAGATAAATGCTACCCTGGAATAGAAAACATCCCATATCAGTTACAACATGACAGGGAATGAGACATTAGAAACACATCTAAATGTTCAAATACATCTTATTTTATAAGATTTATATTTTATAAATTTTCATTTATGGGCTCTAAGATCACCTGTCTCCCATTTGTAAAGATTTTTATACAGGATAACGAGCAAGTAGTATACATTATGATGATGAGGGTGCATTTAGTACCACAGTAGCTTCCCATTAGAGACAATATATTATATATTATGAATTTTTGAGTGCTATTAAACATTCAATGATATTACACCCACCAAATGAAAAAATTGGAGTACTCCCCATGGGCAGTTTATTGGTAAACTGCTTCCTCTTTTATTTGGTTGAATTGAGAAGCTAATCAAAGCTATCTTTGCACTAACCTTAACAGAACTCTTCATATGAGCTTAAAAAAAAACCCAACTGATACTGCTGTCAGAAAGATCAGTCAATTAAGAGAAGACTTACATCCATAAAGATACTTGTGCATTGATAAATAATTCTCAAAAAAACCCCCAAAAAACCAAAGAATGTGTGGTGAGGCTTAACTTTAGCTTCCAGAAGTGCAAGGCAAGTTACCAGAACTATTTTCTTCTTTAGGGAGAAGGTGATGCTAATGGCAGAAGACATGCTAATCAGATAAGGGTAAAATCTTAAAATAGCAAAGAAATTTTCACTGTACCTTACTGTTACCCATTCTCAGGGTGGGTAGCAAGTTGGGTCAGTTTTTTCTAAGTTTTGTTTAGACAGAACGTAACACTTTGCTAAACATTAAATTTTGCATTGTCATTTAAACATGCAGCAATAGCTAAAGCATTCCTGTTAACTACAGTTAAGCACTCACAACACACTGTTCTAATTAAAGAAAAAGAACATATATTTTTAAGATCATCATTATTCTTATGAAAAAGTAAATATAAAATTATCCACAGTGAAGTAGGTTTTTTCATTAATATGTCAAAGTAAGCAATTCCATTATAAACTGCAAGCAATTCAGGTTCAAGTTTTCTATGATAATCCTACTTTTCTTTCATGATGCTTATTTTTGAACTGTTCTTACTTAAGACACTGATGTGAGAAAAGAAAAACCAAGTGAAACGTTATTCCCCAAAGATGAAGTTTCTTGAATCAAAGACAGATTTATTTCTAACTGTTGTTCTGCACCATGGCATGTGGTACACATGTCAGAATAAACTTGCATAATTTATTATGCTCCCTTCAATTTTGACAAGGCCCCAGACTGCAGAGGTCCTACTGGGAAAGAATAGTTCATCAGAAGATTGAAGAGAAAGCAAACACCAAGGTTTTGTAATTGTACTATTTGAGCATGCAGCATCAAATCTTAAAACTCAAGAACGGTGCTTAGATTTGAAGTCTAACACTTCTGAGAAAAACTGATAAATATACCAAAAACTGGGTAAATAATGATATGTTATTGCAGTGAAACATTCATACAGTTAGAACAGTTCAGAATAACAATTTGGATTACAGCTAACATTTAAACACTCCATTTTCAAGTACAAAAAGAATATATATAATTCCTGTCTGAGGGGTTAGTTTACTGAAAATGTCAGGCAAAGAAATAATTTACAAGGCACTGAAGGTGATGCAACTCAGTTAACAAAAAGCACCACAGAATCCAGGAGATGCTAGCTATTTGGATTGCTCAAAAGATTAAGGAGGGATGTTTTGAATTATTCCTAAGTTGTTCCTAAACACATCTTGTTAGTAGTAAGAGTGTTATATACACTAAAGTACTAAACAGTATTGTGGTGATGCCTCAAGTCTCTGGATTCCCACCTGCAGCTCCATCTGTAAATAGCACTAGAAATCACCAATGCATCACTTAAACCTTTCAGAGTAGTTAGTGGGCAATTAGCATTAAGTATTTCTGTTTATCACAGCACTTCCATTAGTGCAGGAGTGACAGCCAAAATAAAGCCTCCCAGAGAGCAGCAGACAGCTGACCTGGGGCTAGGACACGACAACCTCTCATTACCTCTGCCTTCCAGAAGCTTTATCTTACCTTCCATAGGTTATTTTTACCCATCCTCTCTCCAGAAATCCGTCTCCTAGCAGAATATTACATTAGAGATAGCACTCATTGCTGTTTCCCTGCTCTCCCCAAGCATCACGTGAGTTCTTTCCCTCTTCCTTCCCGCCCAACTTGCTCCCACCAAAAAATCACAACATGAAAAGCAAAGCAGAGCCTAATGAAGTTCAGCAGAACCTAATGAGAGGCTAAACCCCATCCATTACATTGAATTGCACCCTTACTTTTGTTGGCAAGATAGCCATGTATTTCCCTAAGAACCTTTGAATACAGGTCTTTACAGGAAACTATAAAGATTTATCAGCACCTCTGCAGTATTTCAAAACTCTTTCATCTCTTCCACATAGTTCTTTCTTTTAAGGTGAACAAGGAACTGTGAACATCTGCTCAAATTAGGAAAAAATGCATAATACCTCTTTCTCTAATGCATTTCTGTCACTTGGAGTACAAAAGGAACATCTCTCCATCAAGAAGCATTACACATCTGTCAATACCTTCTCTATTTGTATTTTTATTTTTTGCACCCATTGCTTATCAGATTAAAACCAACGAGCAGTGTAAATAGTCTCTCAAATTGGGAATGTTTATGTTGTTAGATTAAGAAGAGTGCAAACATGTATAGGAAGCAAATGCCACTGAGAGGAAAGCAGAGTTTTTCTGGAAGTTTCTGCCCTAGTGAAATGACACTTTACTGTCCCTTTACACAAAACCTGAGTACTGTTTATGATTTGTTATTTGATACGATGGATTTTTATTCTGAAATTGAAGCTTACATGAAGGACATTTTCATGTAAATGTTCTAAGGCAGAAAAACACAAAAAATAACAAAGAGACCACAAAGCTTGCAAGAAGTGTTTGTAGTACTGCATATTAATAGTCATATAGAGACTTTTCACTGATACATTGTCAGGAATAGCCTGGCAACTGTTTACTGCTTTTCTTAAAATCTTTGATAAGGCAGCTATTAAAAAGCTGAAAAAAGGAAACTCTGTTTTTTGTTCTAAGAAATTTGTTCCACATTCAATAGTTTTACCTGTTTGCTTTGTTGTGGCCTTGTTTGTTGCTGTTTATGTCTTTTTTAAGAAGCACACTACTAATGCTGAACACTGTCAATTTTCACACGCTGATTATCCCTTCAGCAAAAAAACTCTACCCACACTGGTAACTATTTATTTCAATTGTATCTACCATGTAGATGCAAAATAAGAGGAGATGATTAAAATAAAATTACATTATGGCAGATGCTGTAGTCAGGACCAAGAGAAACAGGAGGAGCCCTGCACCCCTTCCTGCCCCAGGACAGAGCCTCCTCTGTCCCAGAATTTGATATAAGAAAGTGTCAAAACAACTGCTTAGAACCATCTACCATTCAGTTTGTCCAACACGGGGGATTCTTCTCTGATCATTTTATATGGTGAGGAACTGCCATGTATCACTCAATCCTCTAAACTTGGACCTTACCAAGCAATTATATTTAATTATTTCTGTGAGATACACCTGCCAAACTGACAAAACTAATTATACATCCTGTCTATCCACTGGTTCCAAGGGCTGCTAAGAAAAGACAGTAGAACAAAACTACTGTGTGGGCTGACATGGCACCAAAACGAGGGAGGGTGGGAGGCAGAGGGGAGAAAGAATGAAAGAAAACAAAGAACCCATAAAACTGGAAGTGCTAACTTGGGTGTTTCCAGCAAGTCCACTCCAGCTGTCCTGGGAGATTCAGTAAAAGGAACTGAGCATAGCCTTGCCCTTTCATTTTAAACCTAGGGTAGCAATTCACCCTTCAATGCAACTAAGGCTCAGTAATATTCAAACTCCATGAAGAAAAGATGCAGTTGTTAAAAGAAGTTCTCACTGATCAGAAGTCTACTTCATCCATACTTGCAAAAACATAAAGAGGTACCAAACTCAAAAGTCCAAGAAAAATTATAATTGAAATTCTTTCTGTCCAACTAGGAAAAGAGGACATACACTAAATAACTCCAATAGTTCTGCAACACTACGCATCTAACTCTATAAATGCTGAAGCATCATAGTGATGGCAAGCCCCACAAAAGTGTATTTTACCAAATCAGAACATAAGAAAAGAAAACCAATAGTACACTCACCAAGGGCAGTGATGATCCATCTTCAAAATGCATCTTTAAAAAACACCAGCAGAATTCCAAGCACAGCCAAAAGAAAAAAAATTGTCAGAAGCAAAGTTACATGCCAGATTTTAATTATTTACATATAAATTAAGAATTATTCATATTTACTATACATTACATAATCGATTTAATAAATGCATCCATTCAAATTCACATAATACAGTTTACCTACAAGAGAACTGCAGAAATAAGGAAAACATTTGATATATTAAGAACTTGTGATTTAAGAAAATGCAATCTATAGGACTTTGTCAGCTTTAGCATTTGGTCCTCAATCTGAATAGGATTTTCAGCTACTGTCTATTTTCTGGCAAAACCTTAGAAACTGGGTAAATTAAATTATTATGTAGTCATACAACTAAATATATTTCCAAGGACCTCGTCTGTTTTTATAGAAATAGATACATCTTTCTATGCAAATAGACAAGGTTCTTAAGAGCTTACCTTGTATGAAAAATCTCAAACACTTTTGCAATGAATTAATTGCAAAATTTAATATTTAATAGTAATTTTAAATAATAATAATAAATAATAAAATTTGTTTAAGAGTAAAATTGCAACAGTTAATAAAATGTTCCATTAATAAAATATTCACAAGAAAATTAGATATGATTGAAACAAGCAAATTTTGGTAAGGTAAGGACAAAACAAAGCTATTCTACAAAATATGTCAACTAATTGCATTCTGCAAATTTCACTCACATTTTGTGGGCTAACAAGTCACCATTTTTCTTTATTAGACACACACATGACTGTGTTCCTGTCTTACACTGCAACCACCATTCCATACAACACAACCAAGATGCCCTTCCTGCCTCAACTCTGTTTCTCTTTCAGTGCCTCTGCTGCTTTCCTGGACAAAACAACGTCTTCTCCACCTCAAAATTGTGTTGGAATGTTTGATCAGCTGAAGAGTATTTGGAACAGCCTTAAAGCTAAGAATAAATCACCCTCTGAAGAAGTGTCTTCTCCCAAAGTTAGAAATATAAAGCACTGGGGGACCAGAGTGAAGAAACACACAGACAGCCAAGCTAACTGGAGAAGGGTCAGAGAGAACAGTCAAAAGAAAGATTAAATTAGAAAGCAATCAGACTTCTGGAAAGTACGAATATGAACTTCCTTTTGTGTGAGATAAACAAGAACTTAATTTTATGGCTTCAGTTAGAAATGGGAAAATGCTTGGCTGTTTCTTTCATTAAACAAAAGTACCCTGCAAGTTATCCAGTAAAAAATAGGATATTAAGTTTATTACCTCAGGTAAGATGTAAGTGACATCATGATTAGATTGAGATGGGTAGTGATGCTTATTCAGATTCTAACAAAAGAAGCACATTTTTTATCAGCTATTTTTGGTAACGTTCTTAAGGAAAATTCTTTATTAATATTTATAATTTTTAACCATTATGTTAAGAATGTATAAGACCATGTAATCCACACTGGCATCAAGGGAGTCATGAAATGAATTAGACTAAGCTATAGACTTCTTTAGAAATAAATAAATTAAAACTAAATCTAAATCTAAAAAAAAAAAAAAAAAAATCTAAGGGAAAATGTGAATGTGTGTCTGACAAAATACTAAGCCTGAAAAATCTACTCATAAAAAATAAAAGCTTCTCTGCCAAGAAAGAAAAATGGATTAATTCAGAAAGTCACTTATTTAAAAAATATTCTTACTTGTCGCATACTGAACAGTGATGGCAACGATCTGGTTTTACAAGATGGCATCTGTCACAGTATCTGATTGCTAAAGAAAAAAGTACCAAATTAGATTTCGATGTACAGTTACACATTTTGATTTCTGAAGTCTGTGCAAAAGTAAACACTATCAGCTCAGCCTAGCAGAATCCCCAGGGAAGTATCTCAGCATGATCAGGAGCAGTTGCAAATACTGAAGCATTCTTCAACTGCTTGCAAGGCTGAATCTATCAGGCTGAACCCAAAAAAGCTCAGTTTTTGCAATCTCTGCTAATCATACTAATCTTTTTTTTCCCCCCAAGCCTTTTAGGTCTGCAAAACAACCAACCAACAAAACCCACAAAACCCTCATTAGACTGGAAAATGTTAAAGACTATTCAACAATATAGCTATTTTAAGCTATTATTCCAACAGCTTTAATTTATTATGTGAGATTATCTCTTGGATTTGCTTAGCTAGTCACAATTCAAAAACTAACAATATGAGTAGGGTTAGATTAACTGGTAGTTTGGAAGACCTTTTGTTCTTGCAACTGAACCACCAACAAGTAAAACAGTAACAGTTTCTTACTGTGATCTATCTAGCTATACATGACATGCAGACAGTGATTCTGTTTTTATCATTTTTTAACCTATGATAAAAGAAATCTATGCAGTTAATGACTGCTACAGCCTCTTCTGCTGCTTGTTAATATCAATTTGAAAACAGGAGCAAGGCATTGTCAACCCACTTTAAAATCCTAAATTGTATGCTGAAATTTACTTCCCAACCACCTTTATACACTGAATAAATGTAGCTGCACAAAGCTAAATGAAAGTTCTTGGACCACTTTGTTATTTTATGAAATATGAAAAAACTTCTTTCCCTTCAATCCAAACCCTTGAAAACTCTTTTCAAATTAGTTTAAGTAGTGCATCAAGACACCTGCCTTTGTTAATCTCCTGAACACCCATTTACCTCCAGACATTGTCCGTGTATAGATAGGAAGGTCCTTAGCTGCCCGTCTCAGGACTTCTTGCTGGGATTCACCTCTAGGTTCTCTCTCTAGGGACTCCTTGTCTGAATATGATAGATGAAACTGGAATAATTTTTAAAATAGAAGAAATAGTAGCAAATTCCAAGTTAAATATGTAACCGTAGATGTGTAAAGAGGAATAAATACTCATTATATAAAGATGGATTAGCAACATGTGCAGGGTATTACAGAAAATAACCCAGTGTTCCCACAACATATAATTTATTTTATGGCAACTGAAGATAAAATTAAAAACACTTCTGATTTGGTACTGATGCAATGCTGAATGCTTCCAGAAGTACTAAGCAACATTCTTCAAGAGAAAGATCAAGAGCTTATCGTTCCCCTGAAAGGTCAGTCAATTTACTTCTGTAATGCCAAATATTAACTAGTGAATATAACCTTCGGTTAAACACTGAAAGAAAATATACTACTAGTAAAAGCAGAAAACACAACTTTATTTCTCTTCTAGTGTCTGGCATTTTCACTTTTATTCTTTGTCACTACTAATCTCTTCTTGATAGGGTGTGTTTTTACTTTAGAGACTGGAAGAGATGGGAAAGAAGAAAGAGATGGGTCTTGTATGGCAAAATAACCATATCTTGGATATCTTCCTGAATAAAATGCCAGCTTCAGTCTCTGCCCAAAACAATAACAAGTGCTCTAGCAAGTGCTGAAAAGGCAAAAATTACTGAAAGAGATGCTTAGTATATGAAGAAGCACAAATTTCTTAAACTCCAAAGTCCTCTGCAACACAGCAACATAGACAGCTTTGTCACTGTAGCTTCTAGAAACAGGCAGAAGTCTTTGGTATCTTTACCAGAGAAACAAGATACAAAATCACCTTTGAAAATAAGTCCATATTTGGCAGGAAGAGCTGTCTCTACCCTGTGCCAGAAACAGAAGCTCTCTGCACAGCATTTATGTTTACAGGAAGGCTAGTCATTACAATAATATTGATTTTCTTTCTTTCCTAAAAGAAAGCGATGCATGTAAAAATAAGAAAGCAGACAGAAACAAGCAGTTAGGAGCTTATTCTCACTTCCACAGGGAATGCACCACTCCACCCTTCCTGACAAAGCCCACAGTCTTCCAGATGAAGCTGGATATTCACTGTTTAACTTGAGTTTCTCAGGTCACCATTTTTTCCCTTGCAAGAACACACTCTTAACAACATCTGAATTGATTTATATTGGGATACATAAGATTTCTCACTACAGAAACTTGGTTTAGAATATTTTTAAAAATGCTTATTTGATGTAAACAGAACTACAGTTCCATCTTTTTTTTGTTCCTCAGAGTAGTCCCACATCTAAAACCTTCATGCCTGGGTAACCATTTTCACTCCCATCTCCATGCAGTACTGGTATAAAGTTGGTATGCATAAGTAAAGAATGACCCACTCTACAGTAAAGTCCATTAAAACCTACTTTACACGTAAAAGTTTGAAATAAGCTTAAAAGAAAGCTGTGTGGTTTGCACCAGCTGCAGTATTCATGAAAACAAAATGCAAAAGCTTTATCTGTTTTACAGTCTTCAAATGAGTATTTGCTAGTTCAGTTCACTTGAAAATACATCTTTTTCTATTTGCAGACTTCATGCCATAAAATGGAAGGCAAACAGTAATTTAACATTACAAAAATACTCTAATTAAATTTTTAAAATACCGCTCTAGTTGAATAGGAAAAAGACAAGGAACAACACAGATGTCACTTACTGCAAAATTCAAAGAATTACTGTAAATTCAAAGAATACAGGAACGTCACACACTGCTTTCTATTACTCAACTACAATACTTTTCCTACATCATTTGAAATTCTCCAGTAGCATTGTATGATGGATTTGGAATTGTATTATATTTAGCAGGATTTGTCAAAATGCTTTTATTGGCATCAGCCAAATTATTTGAAAACCTTCTAATTATCACTATAGTCATCATATACATGCATACAGTTGGCTATGTCATTACCAAATGAAATAGGTTTTTAATTTATTTTGCTCCTCCCCACTCCAGGCTGTAGTAAAGACTGCAGTGTGAACTCCAGTGAAGATGGCAATTAGTTTGAATTCTCTACTTGCTTTCACAATTACATATCCTAATGGTGAATGAAAAGTCACCATATTCAGAATAGAACCTCTGCACAACAGACAGTAGAAATCACAAGCTATTCATTTTAGGTTGACCTGGTACTTAGAACAGCTAGAGTTGAGTCCATGCCAAAGGAAGTGTTTGCTTTGTGGGTATTTCAAACTACAGGATTCCTCCTGACCTCAGAGGTTGTGTAACACAGCACCTACTGAGGACTGAGGGCTTTCTGTACGAAGACAGAATGGAAAAGGCCAAAAAGTTGTGCTAGCTAAAAAAAGCTGCATGAGCAGAATTTCCATCAGTGCCATTGATGGAGAACCTCCCCAGACCTCTTTTTCCACGTGGCTGTTCTGTACCAGCTCCCTTCCTGCTTAGCCAGCTGTGGCTTCCCACCATCAATTTACCTAATCCCACCACAGTCTAAAAGTTCCTTCATACCAAAACAGACAGGGAAGAAGTTTTAATTCAGAGGACAATAGACAGATGCTGACAAGAAATATAAATCTTAAACACAGGGAAATAAATTTTTGCCCACATTAAAGTCTGATATTCCCAAGGCAAAAATTTAGGCTGCTAGTTCAAATAACTCATATTTTTCAAGTGGACAGGATTTTTTTTTCTACCATAAATATCTCATTTTAAAATATCTATTAAAAAGTTAGAGAAATTGTTACTTTTTTTGTCTTGATCACTACACTGATTTAAATCTGACTCAATCTATTAAGAAGCTGTTAACTGCCATCTGTGTTTTTCTACAGAGTGTAAAGCTACATGAGATCAGAGACTAAGTTATTCAAACACTACAAAATCAGGCATTTGGCTAGGCCATTTCATAAACAAAAGTTAAGTTTATCTTACTTCTTTTGAAGGATTCATTGGTAGCGTAAAGATTGTTTTCCAATATGACCAGATGAACAGCATGAAAAATATGTGGTAAGCAACCAGGCACACAACTAAAATCAGAAAGGAACAGAATTAATACAAACAGATCAGTGATATTGTAGTACTTACAAACACTGCCTGTAGGCATCACAGATAGTTCTCTAACAGATGTAAATACAGAGGCTCTGGAAAAGCTTTGCAACAAAAATGCTGCACTGCAACTTTACATAAGACAAATACAAACTGTGTGGGGAAGGTCATGACACAGTCTACATAAATTACAGAAGTTTAAGGAAAATGGTTAATAGCCTATTAAAGCTCCATCATTAATTAGCAAGCAGTCTCCCTTACACGTTGGTTAAATTCTAATTAACTGATGCATCTCTGCCTTTTAGCTTTATAAACCTTGCAGGGAGACTGCAAGTCACCAAAACCCCCACTCTGCCTCCCCCCAGCTAAAGCCCCAAACCCCCAAAGGCCGTAAGGGGACAATGATAAGTGAGAGGGAAATCTTGGGGTGAATATGCACATGACACCTGAGCAGTACCCATATCCAGGTAATTTTTTTTCCTAGATTTTAGGAGGGAGGACACTTGGATGTTTTTGAAAACCTACAAGTTCTTTAAATTCAAGTGTTCACTCACTACTTTATATTCTTCACAGACAGTTAATATTTGTTCTTATGTTTTTTAATAGATGAGAATCAACATTTACCATGCTGAGTTGTTTTACTAGAATACAGAAGGCAACAGTAACTTTTCCAAAGAGTCTGCCATAGGTTGATAGGTATTTCCATTTAAAAGCTCTCACTCTAGTAAGCAAGTCACTACAGTAAATGGCAAATCATAAACTCATATCACCTGATTAACTTACTCTAATGACAAGAAAAGAGTATTGTCCCACAAATTCATATCCTCAAAAAGCATCCCCATGGGAAACCTGTGTATTTTCACTTCACAGTCTGAAATATTACCCTTGTATGGTTAGCTCATGGAGTCTTTTTATATGTCATATTATTCAGGGCTAGAGAATGCTTTATAACACATGCATGATGGTGCATATAAATGCAGGAACAGTTGTCTGATAAGTTCTTACTTTTTGCAATTTTGCCTCAAATGTAACACTGAATACTTTTGGTGTTGAAGTTTGTTTATTCAAATAGCAAGAACATTGTCAATATTTACTCTTATTCATTAAGCTGTTAAAAATAATAAACAAAAGCTAATAGAATCTGAGGAGCGACTCTGTACAAAGATTTTGGAATGAGAGGAGCAAAGAATCATATGCCAGGTTTATAAACGGAAGAAAAAATCTTATCAGCATAAATAAGTGATAGAACTGGACTCCACACAAAGCACAATACACTAAATGACCATCTTGTTATTGCATAAGCATCTGGGCAGGAACAATCCTCATTTTTATCAAAACATTTCTATCAACTCTAAAAAAACCCGATTTACTCAAACAAAATCAGTATTTTCTTAAACAACAGTAGATTCATGGCATATAGTGAGAGCAAAGTAGGACAAGTCACCTCAGTTCTGTACAAGATGCACTTACTGATCTGCATTGAGCATTTTATTGTTGTCAAAAAACTCGCCAGTAATTGACAGACAAGAAAATGGTTCACATAATAAAAAAAGAAAAAAAGAAAAAAGGAAAAAAAAGAAAAAAAAGAAAAAAAAGAAAAAAGGGAAAAAAAAAGAAAAAAAGAAAAAAAGCCTAATGCCTAAAGATATTATCCAAGGTTTTCCCTTTGAAGTCTGAACAAGACTTGAGCTCATCTTGTTAGATCTTGAACCTCAGCTCCCCAGCCTGGCCCAGTGCTGACTGGTCACTCCTCCCAGGTTATCTACTCTCCAGTTTCCCTGCATGTGATGGAGACCCTGGGCTACCCAGCTGCTCCCTGGGCTACCCAGCTGGGCCCATGGGTGTCCAATGTAAGAACCTCATTTCACCTGAGGCAGCTAAAGAAGAGCTGTCTGCTGCTCCCTGGCAGAAATCTTTATATTTCACATGTTTTCTAGAAAAAAAACCCAAAACAAATTAACCAACCTACCCCAAAAAAACCCAACTCAACCAAACAAAAGGAATCTCAACCCAAATGGTGTACCCCTTGCTTGAAGGCAGTCAATTTATAGCTAGCTAGCACAGCTAGGGCTGCCTGGAAATTTGAGGCAACCTGTAGTACATCTGCACCCCATTTTCCCAGTTTTCACTCCAGAAAAATCTTATGGCTGAAGTATAGCCAGGGTAAATTTCTGCTGACTGGCTGAAGCCCACCAAGACTTTGAGTGAAAATAAGGAAATTTAATGTTCCCCAACACATTTTGCTGATAATTTTAATGTGTTTTGTGAGCAATGCCCATCAACTCACTTTCTTCCCCTCCCAAAGGGTATGGAACAGCAAGAAACTGAAATTCAAAGCTTGCAGATAACACTTCTACACTCATAGAGGGGATGAAATCACTGAACTGAAAAAAGATTTTTCAAGCAAATGTTTCTAAATTGACAAACATGTTTTCTAAGTGAGGGAGTTGCCAATGAATTAATAATATCTGCTGGAATTACACAAACATAAAAAACTCTTCCTCCAAAAGCTCTGCAGCCCTACACTTTACACTTCCATGTTGTGCTGTAATATTAAAATAGCATCTGGAAAAATGATCTAAACATGCTGCAGCCTCAAGGTAGGAACTGTAGTGACTGTTAACTAGGCAGTAGTATATTCTGACAAGGCTACATATCTAAAGGATTCTATTTCTATAAATATGCTAATAAGAAAATGCAGAAAGAAGTCCCCTCCCATTAATTATGTTGCATCTGCACACACTGCTTATCTCTAGAAATCCTGCTTCTACAAGAGCTTTCTGTATTATGAATGAATTTTTTTAAAAAACAGAATGTAAGGATTGTTTTAGTTGACACATCAGAAAGCCAGTGAGAAGAGTAAAAAAATTCTAATTTTTCTCATCTCCATTTGTAATGGTTAAGGCAATATTTAGCTGCAGCAGGATAATAAAAGGTGCTGAAGAACAAAAAGTACAAATTTAATTGTTTTAAGTCATACTGTTTCTCAGTTCTACTAGCAAACTACTGTTCTACTCTGATATATGAATTACATCTATAAACAGCTAATAAAAATCTTACCTTTTTCTCCGATATTTGTCATTGTCACTGAAAAAAAGAAAAAAGGAAACAATAAAAATTTATGTTTAAATAGCAAATGATGTACCTCAGTATTTAAACTTTTTTTTTTCAACCGAAGATGGAAGAGTAATCATCAATCAATGCACATTTCACGTCACACACTATGAAGCTCTTATGCTGTGTACCTTCATCACAAGAATAGGTACACAATATCAATTGCTTATAAGGTTTTTTGGCTCCTCTTCCCAGGCTCATTTCCTGATAACTAGGACTTCCATCTATCTGAAGCTGCCAAAGTTTAATCCAAGAAAAGCCATCTCTGAAGAGCAGTTATTTATTTTAACTGTGGTTGCACAGGTTTCACTCTTTATTTATGTTCTGTTCTTGAAGTGCAGGTACCAGACTCCAGAACTGGTTTTGACAGCAATATTTGGTGATACTTTAGATCTTCAAAGCATAAAAACTGAAAGTGGACAAAAGCTGCATTTCCTTTAAGAAATTGCCCATGGATTACAAGATTTGGGGACAGTAAGAGCGTGAGAATGGGCAAGTATGTCAGGCGTGGAAGGGAACACACAGGTATCACACATCAGTGACTGCATTTTCCACTCTTGGTCACATTATTTAAGAGTAACCATCCCACAACAGGTATCTCAGAGAGATCAGAAACTCCAAAGTGATCAAAACCTCTTTTCACCCAAACACTCCATCACACATTTGTTCACCCCAGTTAAGCAGTCTGCAAGCTGCTAGTGCCTGCAACAGGACAGTAGGTGTACAGAAATCTCATCTACTCTTGTTTTCCTAATAAAAAATATTGCAGAAGGCTGGTCTTCAAGCAGCAGGCACAAGGCAACTCCTCTGGAAAAGCCAAACAGCCATACCACCTGACTGATGGATTAAACTTAGGCTTGGTGATTGAGTTAAAGCCAATATTTAAATACATCTTGCATATTGCAAGGGTGGACCATGGGACCAGTGCTGCTCAACACCTTAACCAATGCTCTGGAAGAGTGAACACTTATCAAGGCTGCAGATAACACCAGCCTGGGGACAGCAGCTGGTACGTGCAGGACTTCCCTTCAGAGGGACCACGACAGGCTGGGGGAATGAAGCAATGGGGCCCTTATGAAATTAATGAGGGCAAAGACAAAGTCCTGCCCTGTAAAGAAGCAACCCCCTGCAATGACACAGCCTGGGGACTGCTGGGCTGGAGCAGCTCTCTGGAAGAAGCCATGCATTGCTGATGGGCAGCAGAAAGGGCAAGCAGCCACATGGGCTACATCAGCAGGGTCAGTCAAGGGAAGGGTTTATCCCCCTCTGTGCAGCATCCATCAGACCACAGGCAGAGCTCTGTGGGGCTTTGGGCCCCCCAACACAACAGAGACCAGTCCAGAAAGAAGCAACCAGGCTGGAGGGGACTCGTCCTCTAAAGAGAGGCTGCACAGCCAGGGCTTGCCAGCTGGAGAAGACATAATTTTGGGATAGCCTCCAAGGACCTTAGGGAGACACTGAGGAGCTGGGCTCTTCTTACTGGTGCAGAGTGGGATGACAAGAGCCAGTAAATGTAAGGTGAAATGAAAGGATCAGATCCAATACAAGGAAAAACCTTTCCACCATGAGAACCATCCACCAGTGGAGGAAGCTATCCAGACATGTTGCACAGCCTCCATCAGTGAAGTTTTTCAAGACTCAAGCCAATAAAACCCTGAACAACCTGGTGTGACTTCACAGCTAGCCCTGCTTTGATGAGGAGGTTGGACGAGATGAGCTGAGGTCCTCTCAAACATGCATTATTCCACAATTCTGTAATTATAAAATAGGTCTATTAAAATGGAGATTTGACTATAGTTCTACCAAAACAAGCATTTGCCTTACCTGAGGGAACACAGTAAGCAACCATGCTTATAAAATGCCTCAAAAAATCAGAAAGACACCATAGAAGTTGCATAAGCCACTATAAAGCTAATTATATTCTACCCTCAGTTTTCTGAACTCTTTAGAATTTGAAAAGCTGAATATCCATCTAGACAAGTGCTAGAGAGAGAAGCTGAAGGAACATGTATATATACACTTGACTCTGAGGAGCAGACATACTCCCCTATAATAATGCACAAGAACTCTAAAATTTTAAGAAAAATCATCCACCAGACGATTGTTTACAAAACAAAAGACATCTTCAGAGCTGATATGCAATTTAAAAGTGATGGAGTTCTCAGATTAAGACAAATTAGCCACCATTCAAATTCTGATTTTCTTTCTCCACTTGGAACAGTCAGCAAAGTGTGCAGAAATTTTGCCCATCTTCTTGGAGTAACTACTCTCTACTACTTAAAAAGTCACAGGCAGTCATACATTGCAGAATCACCAGTTTCAAAACAAAATCCTTTTAACCAACCTTCACAGTAATTTGTGGTATTTTTCTCTCCTTACAAGGGAATGCCACAGAACATTGCTGTGAAAGCAGTTGTTGGAAATCTTTTTTCCACCCTTTATATTTGGACAAAATGTATTTACTAATGTGTCTGAGAAATCTAAAATTTTCCAAAATGACTGTAAGTAAAGGACAGACAAATCCAAATGTAGTAATTTCTATCAGACATCAAACATAAAGTTTTCCAAAATTTCTGTCCACCTCTAGAAGGAAATGCACTCCTCAGGGGCTACACCTGTGCAGAGGACTGTCTTCTCAGCTTTTACCTCAGAACCCAAATGCTCCTGACAATCAGGATCATGAAGACTAAAGCACAAGTGCCCAGAGATGTCCAATTAACCCCAGGAGGGTGAGAACATGTTTTTGGTTGGTTTTGTTTGTTTGTTTTTTTATAATATATGTATCTTGTAATTTTAATTTCTTTTACCACCGAGTATAAATCAAAAGTTATTTCATACACTCCTGGGCTGCAAGCATTGTAAGGGACCAAAGCAGAGAGGAACAAGACTAAAAAGAGATGCCAGTACCTCCAATCTTACCATCATTTTTCTCCACACATATTGCAACTGGTGTTTACAAGGAGACTGGCTGCACTGCCCAACAAGCATTTCCACAGACAGTGACAGAAAGGAACTGTGCAAGATATCCAATAACCTGAAAGTGAAGTACCAGTCCCTCTGCTTATGTCTTTTTAAATCACCTCTGACAAAAGCTCCCTGGAGGAGGTACAGTGTGTGGGAAAGTAATGAAAAAGCATCGACAATACAACAGTACCAGAGAGGAAATGAAGGTGTGGGGTGGTTTTTTTTTGGTTGGTTGGGTTTTTTTTTTGTTTGGTTGCTGGCTTTTATTTTTTTTGAGGGAGAGGGAGTGAGAGAATTTTATGTTTTGCACCCATGTGGCAGAACTGACCAACAGGATAAAAAATGGCTCTTACACATCAAACTCTCTCTTGAATTTCTCTTAATGATTTAAACTTTCTCCATTTGTTGAATGACCACAATACAAAGACTTCTTAGGGTAAATATCTTGTATTTACTCTAAGATCACACTAAAATCATACTATTTAAGAGCATGGAAAATAATTTTCTAGTATGAAAAAGTCTTCTAATTTTGGATTTTATCAAAGAAGTGTTTATTATTTTCCCTGCCTTCTGGATAGCACACTATATGCTTATTTAAACCAAATTTTATATATTTTAGTAGAATCATTTGTATCAGTATTTCTGGCAGTTTTCTCATTTATGTTTCAAGGGGTTACACTCACTGTGGTGAAAAGTAGGTCAGTGTGCATTCTGTCATTAATAAATATCAGCTGAAATGCTGCAAATGCACTTGCTGATAGTCAAATAGCACAGAAATAATATGAGTAAAAAGCATTTATATCTATGATGACTAAAATAAACACAAAGGACATGGCAAACCCAACTGCTAAGCAATTTCTGGGAGAAAACAGAGTAAATCCCTTTGGGACCAAAATGGAATGATACTCCTGTATATTCAGAGATGGAAATAATTATAAAAACATGACCTGTCTTCAGGAAATCATTAAAAAGTCACAGCTTTGTTTGCCTGAGATACTGCAGGGGCCAATTTCATTAAGAATCACCCTTGCACTGCTGAAGCATCAGGATGCCATTTACAGTTCAGTACCAGCAGACTGTCACATCATTAGAGCCTCTCCGGTTCATTACGCAGCTGGCAGATGGTGCTCATCAGAATTAGGGACCAGGCTGGGACAGATGCAGGATTTCAGCCAATGTAGATGCCAATTTCCTGAGCCAGAAGCATTGCTCCCTGCTTGCCACAAGCAGCCAGAAACAGGAACGTTCAATAGTCAATGCCACTAAGCAGCCTGTGCTTGCAGGGGACAATTGCACAGAAGACAGAATGCTGTGTTTCACAAGATCATAAAAAGTCCAGGATGGTTTCCATCACCAAAGTAGTTTGCTAGGTAGAGAAATCACATCACTAGGCACCTCGCACACTGGGTCAGAGCTAGTGGATTTCCCACTTCTTCAATTTCCACTCATTTTCTCTAGAAATCTTTATTCTCACTCAACCATGTAAAAACTAGGTAGATATCCATCTCCACATAGCTAAAGACGTGGTAAGACACATTGCTATCACAAACCCCAAAAGATTTTAAAAGATAAATTTCATATCAAAATGTGCATTGGTTTTGTAATGTTAAGTTTTGCTTGACTTCTAAACCCAAAATCAAAGTTTCTGAACTGTAAATATAATGACTAGACTTAAAAAGAAGGAAAAAAAATTAAAAAATAAAATGGGAGAAAGCAATACATTTTTTAAGGCTGTGATGAAAGTGGATATACAAAATTTTCCTATCATATTTTATGTACCTTTTAAAAATATTTAAGTCTTTGGAATGGGAAAACAAGATACATCTGATTCAGAGACTCTGCAGCCACATCTATAAATAGCTGGTTCTCTCAAACTTTTATGAAGTTTAACATCTTGGATCTGATTCACAAAACTAAGTACATATTTTATCTTTATAGCATATTTGAGGCTGTAAAACACTGATCTGTAGATGCAGTTTGATTCAGCTCCGTGCACACATAAAAGTGTT